GGGGGGGGGGGGTCCTGTCTGTGATACTGGTTGATACTCACTGGCTTCGTAGACCAGCGCGTTGGCTTTGGCCACAGCTCTCTTATAGCACACGTACAGGGCCGGACCCCACTGCACACAAACACACAAACAAACACACAACAACATGACACACTGAAGACTCACACATCAAAAATATACATTTCACTTCATCCATCAGTGTTTTTAAATTTTTTCATTTAAAAAAATTATTCTCAAATATTTATCTCAGCTTTAAATGATCGTACGTGACGATAAACGAATTATCTTCATCTGATGACGTCACTTTGAGCCGTTAAACCTGAATGATCGTCTCTAATTAAGATAATTGTTATTTGCAGCCCAACACTCATCAACATTTCAAGTGTTTTGTTAGAAATAAAACTCATTTTAAATAGAAATCGTTGCAGAAAATGTTCTTATCGACACAAGTCTTTATTTCTTATTTCGTTTTTCCCCCTTCGCTCATTTTCATTTGGTTAGAGAAACAGAATTTCACATTAAAAGCCTTTGAAAACATTCCATCTGGTCCCTGAAAAGCTTTTATTGTTTAACATCGGCAGGAAGTGAAGAGTTTTGATTGACAGCTGCATCACGTCCAGAAGCAGAACTCAGGGGTCAGAGGTCAGAGCTCTGATGTCAGATGTAAATATCACGATGCTGTGACGTCTTTGTGAATCGAGGACAAAAACCAAAAACATTAAACAACATTGAAAATAATTCTGTTTCCAGACTCGTGACCTGAACTCACCATGCCGGTGTTCAGGTTCTTGTCGACGCGACAGAAAGTGTGCGGGGCCACCTCCCCCTTGCTGGGCAGCAGCAGGGCGATGTCTGTGACGCCCAGCGTGTGGAGCCCCTGCGAGTCCAGAGCCCGTCGATACATCAGGAACACCCGGTGAGCCGTCGGGGCGCCGCCGGAGCTCAGGCTGGCGCTGCGGCTGTAGGGAGTCGTCTCGATGATGTACCAGCCCTGCTTCAGCTGCTCCTTCCCCTCGTACAGAACCCTGCAGGGACGGAGACACGATGCTGTGAGACGCACACGTCAAGTGTTCACTTCATCCCGAGTCAAGGAAATAAAACCAAGGTTGTTTGTTTGAGAGAGAACAATTTGCTCCGTCAATTTAAATAAAGATGGATGGTAAACTGAAGCCAAATCATCTGGATCGCCCCCTGGTGTCTGGCTGCAGTATAGGTCATGAACGCTGCCTCCTCCATGTTAGCAGATGGGACATGGACCAAACAAAAAAAGTAGACGTTAAATAAAAGTTTGTCAAAGTTGTTTCTGTCATTTCAGCTCGTTCTGATCTCTCATGTTTGTTCAAGTGGTTCAGTTTGGTTTGAATCCGCTGTATTTATTGTTTCTATGCACAAAGAATACTTTTCTTATTTTTTTCAGAATCACAAACTGTGTCGATGGTTAAAAACCCTCGACTGAAACCTGACGCTCTGCGTCTGAGCGAATCCTTTCAAGTTAAATCCTGGAAAACATGGATCCCTCAGTGTTTCTCTTCCTGTCGGCTACACTCGTGATATGACGAGAGAAAAAGGATTTACCTCATTATTCTCTAACGAGTGTGATCCAGAGTAATTAAACAGTTCAACATGTAGGAAACAATGGAGACAAGCGTGTGATGCTGATGAGAGTCCAGCACACGAGGCTGCTGCGTTACATCATCCTCTGTTATATAAGCCTCAGCTTTCACTACATGATCTCAACACACCAGACGCTGTTTCTGCACCATGATTTATATTCTCTCCGTCCTTTCAACCCTGCACGTCTCTTCCTTTGTTTGTCAGCAGCACGAACAGATTTAAACTGGCTGGAAGGATGGAACATTGGTGGGAACGTTTCGGGGGAATCCAGATTTGGACGTACTTCAACAATGTCGATGCTCAGATTCGTGAATCTTGATGAAACAGATCTGACACATTCAGGGAACATAAATCTAAAACCCTTTTCAGTCATGAACTCTGGAGAATGTCACAAAGCACAATTGGGTCCAGAGCTTCTCTGGAGATTCGGCGTCTCACCCCAGGTCCAGAATGGGCGGTTTGTCTCGTCCTCGTCGGTAACACAGGTACAGGTGCGGGTTGTTGATGAGTCCGGCGCTCAGCTCGGCCGAGTGTCCGCCCAGCGTCCTCTCGATGCAGGTGAAGCCCTCCGGCACTTCCTCCCCGAGCCCTTTGGCGATCACCGCCAGGTCCGTGATCGGCTCCGCCGCCCGGGCTGATGAAGAGGAGGGGGTGGAGGAGGAAGAGGAGGAGGAGGAGGTCTTCCCATCCTCATCCAGGGGCCTCCAGGGCCCTGCAGGGTCAAGACCTGCCACTACAAAGTAGTCCACCAGCTGCGGACATTTCTCCTCCGTCATTCCGCCTGTCTGCCCTCCACTGCAGAGAGAGACAGAGAGAGAGAGAGACAGATAGAGAGAGAGAGA